CATATCACCTTTTCTATGTTCTAAAAAATGCTTTCTTTTTAATATTTTTTTCTCCTAATTCCAGTAATCTGCAAGTTTTTTTGTTTTTGTTTTGTTTTGTTTGCTACCTATTTACTTTGAGTTGAGTAGTGATAGGTTTGCTTACAAAAGCTTTTGCTGTTTATATCCACAGGGGTCATTTTCTTGAACCTTGATGATAGTTATTTTACCATGTTCCTTTCAATTTATGAGGATAAAACTTGATTCAATTTTGGGTTGTACTAGTTCTCTTACCTTTTCTGCTGCTGTTCTGGCTGGATGTTATAGGTGAAGTGAGTTTAGTAGGTTAACTTTCAAATATTTGAGAGAGTAAGTCAAGACCCCATTTCCTTACATGTATAGTATTTTCTATAAAGATGTGAGATCTAATTTCACAGTTTAATTCATGAGAAATATCTCAGGAAATACCTAGTCTTGAAGGGACAGTCTGATCTTAAAGCCAGAGGTAGCTAGATCTAGAAGACTGGCCTCCCTTTTTAAGAAAACACTGTATTATGGAAAATTATACAAAAGTAGGATAGAATAATGAAACTTCATGTACCAGCTTCAATTATCCATTCATGGTCATTCTTGTTCCATTTAAACTCCTACCCACATAATCCCTCCTGCCATTAGTTCATCTGTAAATATAGCAGCATACAGCTGTAAAAGAGAAGGAATATTTAGGAAAAGTAACTATAGATGTATTATTACACAAAAAATTAATTTGCAGTTGCATTTAGTATCTAAATGTGCCTTCATTATTGGTATTGTTCTTCATTCTTCCAGTTCTTTGCAGGAATGACATCTACTGGGAATAAATGCTTGCTAATAAATAACGTGGATTAGCACTGATACCCTCATTTGGTCTATGTGTCAGGTGTTCACCTGTCACCCAGGGTACCTGTCTTGTGCCTCCTTTACATTCTTGACCTCTATTTAAATTGAGGCTGGTTACTAGTTCATTCACCTGAGCGCTCATATATCATAGTGGGTCACAATATGCTGACTGTGCGGAGAGGGAACAACCAAGTGTTTATTTGATTATGTTCTGGAACTGTCCCACTCCACACTTCCCACAGGGTTTTGTGGGTGTCTTGTGTAGCAAATGAATTCCTGACATTTGGATGATGTGGGGCCACCAGTGCCAGTCCACATATTATGTACTAGTACAACATTTATTTTGTAATTATCACTTACCCAAAAAAAGGATAAGATAAATGATGATAATCCCTATGTTGGACAATATATATGTATGGATTCTGTGACCCCACTTTGGGGATTTTGCTCTCTATGGTGAGGATAGGGATGATAGAAAATTCATCCTTGCATTCTTGGCACTGTGCCTGACACATACTAGGTTACTATTGAGAATTTGTTGAATGAGATGCTGACAACACTGTTCTGAGCCAAAGAGAGGACTTTTATTAAAAAGTAGATAAATATTTGGATGGATATAAAGAACTAGATGTATTGGAAAGGTAAGCATTAAAGGAAGCTATTGAAAAATAAAAAAGATCTATTTATGGGGAAAATTGGTAATACAGTGATAGGTATTATGGGGGCAAATAGAAGTTGAGATAAGTTTGTAGATAATTCATATTAATGTATGAATCGTGATACAGCACTGAAGTATTGATGAAGGGAATAAAAAAGTGAAGGTTTCATTTAATTATTAGGACCTAGTGTTTGAATACAAGTGTGAAAAGGGCTTGTAGATTTTTTTTTTTTAAGATTTTATTTATTCATCTGACTGAAATCACAAGTAGGCAGAGAAGCAGACGGAGAGAGGGGGAAGCAGGCTCCCCGCTGAGCAGAGAGACCATGTGGAGCTCCATCCCAGGACCCTGGGACCATGACCCAAGCTGAAGGCAGAGGCTTTAACCCACTGAGCCACCCAGGCGCCCAGGGCTTGTAGATTTCTATACTCACCCATTTTAAGACAGTGTTGGAACGAAATTCTCAGTTCTCATTAAAATTCTTTGACTTGAATGCAAGAAATTTCTGACCTTCCTTTGCATTTCATACAATGTGTTCATCATCTATTAATAAAAGAATAATAAATATATTCTTTTTTTGTCAATTAGTAGAAAAATCAGAAATGGAAATATGAAATATATCCCATATATGTATTTAACGTAGTCAATTTACCTATATAGAATAGCCTATTGATAAATGGGTTCATACCTAGCTTTCCTTTCTGTTATTCTTTTCAGCTCTTGCTATACTTTTCTGATACTAAGAAGAGGTGTACAAAAATAAATATGAATATAGAATGAATAGAACTCAGTGAAATAAATATGTCCAATTAAGATAGAAGGAAGAGTTAAGGTCTATGCATAGTCAACTCTCAGTTACGGAGTCCTAGAGCTAGGAGTTATAAAGCTAATGGGACAGAAGTAGATAAATATAACTTAAATGTTTAAAAATAGTGTCTATTGGACTTGAGAATTACTTAAGGGTATGAAAAATAGTATATAGAGTTGGGAATTACTTTAGGATGTGAAAAGTCTGTGATTATGTTTTATTATAACCACTACCAAATTGAATATCTTTGCTAAGATTAACTGAAAGATTTTCTTGGAGGTGTGCTGTTTGATGAAGAATGTATAATGATCTGTACATTGAAAATCTATATTCAAAGAGTAACCTGAGTTTTCCAAAAATACCTTTAGAAGTATTATTATAAATACGGTATTAACTTTGTCCTTACCATCAAGATAACCCTCAAATTTGAATTCAGTACACTTGGGCAAAAATGATAGGGCTGCTTTTTATCCTTTAGCAAAATGAAGATTTCCTTTAAAGGAAAACCTTTGGAATAACTAGTGTGACATAAGTAGCATACCTGACACATTGGGATTTTTTATTTGTGCCACTGACAATGTGTATGGCTGTGGGCAGATAACTTTGGGCACAGTAATCTTAATAGGTTTCAGTTGACCTATTGTTAAAGATTGAATACAAAAATGTAATTTGTACAGTGGGAAAAGTGATAACATAGAGTAGAAATTATTCCTAGGTCATTCTAAGTCTTTAAACATTTACAAGAGCAGGATAATATTTGACTGGCTTGGATTTCAGACCTTTTCTCTTGTAGCACATATTCAAATGGAAATAGTGGGAATTAGACAAATGAGCAATAATGGGAAGATAAATTAGGCATGTATTAGCAAATAAGGGTAAAGTCTCACATGAGTAAGCTGGTTATATTGCTTAAAATAATTGTCTTATCTGAGGACATCTGGGTGGCGCAGTCGGTTAAGCATCCTGCTCTTGATCTCAACTCAGGTCTTGATCTCAGAGTCATGAGTTCAAGCCCTGCATTGAACTCTACTCTATGGAACCTACTTTAACAACAAAAAAATTGTATATCTTAATATTTTTAGATTCTAATCAGCATTTGAAAGATTACTGAAATGGGTTACTTAGATTGGTATAAGGTTCTTAGTGTAGAATGAGACTAACAGAATGACTTATTAATAAATGAACTGAGGATTGATAGTTTTCTAAAGAAATTTTTATAATTGAGAAGAAAGTAAAACTTTTTTTAAAAGCAAACATCGTATGACTCACATTTTAGTAGAAACAGTTGGAAAATACTTCTAAATATGTAATATATGGAAATATTTATGATGATAAGTTGGTGAAACATATTTCAAAACTGATAGTGCTTTAATTTCCTTTAAATTTGCCATGTCTGGTTCTACCAGTCATTGCAATTATTTAGGAGTTTATATGAATGTCCATTTAAGTGAAATCTGAGAGTTCATTTCCAAGTAGGGGACCAAAAAGAGACTCTACATTAGATATTGCAAAAACCATTTTCTCCCAACAAGGACATAATGGTGAGGGCTTCAAGCCTACCCCAGCTAAGTTTATGTTACTCTTTGTTCTCTACTATTAGTTGATTGAAAGAGCTTGGGCAGAATATTTAACTTTAGAATTGCAGTATTTTCATTTTTACAATATTATCTTAAACATCTTTCTTATTGGTTAGAAAGATAAAACAAAATTGTATATATCGATGGTACTTGGTAGTTACTCAAAAAGTTTGATGTCGCTTAAATTATCGAAGTAATATTTACATGTAAGGATTGATTGTATTGTCATACCCATAATATTTACATTTGAAAGCACATAGATAGTAAATTCCCTAATTCCCTTATTTGGATGTTCATAAAGTGGAGTGACTTTTCAGGATTGTATGAAGTGATAATTGCTAAAAATTGATAAATATGTTTTTAAAATACTTTCTTAACAAAATTTATGGTACAGGCTAGGAAAGAGAAATTGGTGTTTAGAAATTATGTAGTGTGTTTACAAACAAGGGATGGGGAAGATTTTTTCATTTAATTGTGTAGTAAAGACACTCTCTTCAGTGGACTTTGTAGTAAATGTTTATGAGTTAAGGGAAAATTATCAGCAACAGGGCTGTTTTTATAATACCTGTATTTAAAAACATACAGTGTAATTTTCAACGTACTTATTAAATCTGGGATATTTTTTATGTCTTTGGTTTGCCCCTTCTTGAAACCCTTTGGTTTGTTTCCTTAATAGAATTTCTCTTATGTTCTACTAGAATAAAAATGGTAAATGTATATTGTTGGTTAACTGAGAATAATGAAAAAAATTATTTTTTAGAGTAGGAATTTAAAATAGTTTTCATCCTTTTCTCTATCTTCTCCCCGGACATTCCTTGCCCATAGAAAATAGATAAACTTGTTGATGTCTGACTGGGGATATTATTTTCATAACTTGAAAAAAAAACAAAGCTGAAGTGCTAAGGTGACATCCTGCAAGGAGGAACGGTGTTACCGTAATCCTACGGAAAATAATGAATCAAATTGGGGGTTCTCTAATCTTGCTGTTGGGTAACATGTTTCAATCAGTCCTTGAACATTTTAGAAATTAGAGTATGGAAACTCAAGAACTCTTTTTTAAAAAATTGTTTGAAAAGCCTAATTTTTGTTGCTTTACAGATGTCCCATTTAAGCAGACCTCTTCCATAGCCGTAGCTGGAGCTGTAATTGGAGCTGTCCTTGCTCTTTTCATCATTGCTGTCTTTGTGACTGTCCTGCTGACTCCTCGAAAAAAGAGACCATCCTATCTTGACAAAGTGTAGGTAATTTTTTTGCTTGTGTTCAACATTCAATGTAAGTCAGGCTTTATCTTTACAGCTGCTTATAGCTGTGAAATGTCTGAGGGATGGGAATAAAGATACTGTTAGATCTTTGTGAGGCGACTGTGGTTTCATCAGAATGTGTCAAGGTAAATTGTGTCAAGGGGTCACTGGAGACAAATATATTAGACACCTTTTTCACCTACAAATTTATTGGACATCTTTCTAAATGATAACGTAATGGCACTTTTTTTTGTCCTGCCTTATGAATAAAAATGCAGGTCTCTGATGAGTTATGGTTGAAAGAGAGATTCAAAATATCTTAAGTTTAACTCCTCCAGATTGTACATGCCAGTCTTATGTAGTATAGCTAGATCTTACTCTGAACTGCCAAGAAGTATCAAATATGTCTAGTTTTAAAGGTTTTTTCCTTAAATATTTTTGGTTTTGGTGAGTTACAAAATGTGCAACTTTTTTATTTAAAGAGAAAGCAGTATTTTGGGCCTAGTCATTGAGCTAGAATGTTAAAGCATAAATTGCACTTCACCCTAGAATCAAAAGAACAATGTCCCAATTCACTGAATTCCATCAACAGCTTTTGTTGCTTCATCTGTGAAATGTAAATATTTTCCTCTTTACCTTCCATGGTTGTGATGAGTAGAATAAGATGATGATGTTGATGAACTGTGACTTTTATACAAATGGCATTATTTCTTACATAGTTATTAATATTTTTGTATTTGGACATGAGGTTATCTCTCAAAGAATGTATTTCTTCTGTCTTCATAAATTCTTTGTATGTGACTCTACTTCTCTAATCTGACACAGGTATAGCATAGATCTTCTTAAAGACAACTGAGTATTAGTCTCAGCTCTATCATGATCAAATTAGTGGTATGATCCTGAACAAGTCACATCACCTGCATGGGCCTCAGTTTTCTCACCCAAATGACTGATGGCACCTTGGAGCTATAAATTTGCTGTGATTTTCATTAGATGAAAGGAAATAATTACTTTCAAAGGAGTGCAAATTACCTTTTCAGTGCAACACCTGTAACACTGATTCTTTAATATTTATAGTTATAATATTTATAGTTACAATTATGCTTATAGTTCTTTACTATTTCAAGAGTAGCATGTGGTTAACTTCATTTTAGTTTCCAAGTTATCTCAGCCATTTCTATAATTTCAAAAACATAATTTACTAGTAGACTAAATAATTACATCCATGTAACCATTTTATTTGTCGTTTGAGTTCTGTTCATTTAAAATTATTATTTCATGCCGACATTGAGAAGTTATTAGACCACAGAGAATTTGTAATTACTTTGGCCTTTATAGATTTCATTCTTTTTATTTTTTAATATAGGTAACATTTTGTTTGATTTAGTCATCACATGAATTGAAAATTAGTTATCTGTGAACTTCAAAAGTATAGGAATATATTAAAAATTGTTCTCTAAAATGCAGAGAGCTATAAGATATACTTAACTTTGTTTTTATTATAACAATACTTAAATACATGAAAGTTTAGGTTTTTTAAAAGTTTATTAGGTTATTTTGGCAAAAATAAATGTATTCCTTGAGGATGTAATGCTCTCTTTGTTTATTTCAGGTGACAAGATTTATAATGATCTTTAGATTGAAAAATCTTAATTTGCATGATAGATATTCTAAGTGTAATCGTGGGTTTTGAAAATTAGTTTTGGAAGTATTTCCAAAATGCAGTATAATTTCTCTTCATTATCATTTTAAGATACAGTTTTTTTTTTGTTTGTTTGTTTGTTTTAAGATTTTATTTATTTATTTGACATACAGAGATCACAAGTAGGCAGAGAGGCAGGCAGAGAGAGAGGAAGGGAAGCAGGCTCCCCGCTGAGCAGAGAGCCCGATGTGGGGCTCGATCCCAGGACCCTGAGATCATGACCTGAGCTGAAGGCAGAGGCTTAACCCACTGAGCCACCCAGGCGCCCCCAAGATACAGTTTTTTAAATTACTTTTATGACACTTTGCCTTCCATTGCGTACATTTGACTATCTTTAAAATGATGGTAGACAGAGTCTGATGGAAAAATGTATATTTACTGAATTTACTGAAGTAAATTGGTTACTTGTTTACTGGTTACTAGGTTCCTTGCTTAATTTTCAGAAACATGCTTTCATTTGAGTTACTTCTTTAAATGAATCAATTAGATTGGTTTTAAACATTGGAAGTTTAAAACCAGGCCCCCCCTAATCTATGATAAGTTAGTGGAAATATAAGAACTGAATTAAGCATGTGCACTAATATAAATATTAGTGTGAGGAAAGTATCCACAAAACTTGAGAACCTTGATTGTTTTCCCCCTTCTTCTTGCCTTTTTTTTTTTTTTTTTTTTTTGCTAAATGTTGCATTCACATTTATTAACCTTTTTAATGCAGGATCGACCTTCCTCCTACACATAAACCACCTCCCATATATGAAGAACGATCTCCCCCCTTGCCTCAAAAAGACCTTCTATATCAGGTATGTGTTCATGATTGTACTTAAAATGAAATAAAAAATACGAGGCAATGCATATTATTTGAGTATTATCTTAAATGTTGCATAATAACACATAATCATTTCTCTGAAACATTTAAAGGATCAAACTGTTGACAAATTAGTAAGAAAAGATGTGAAGCCAGAGTGGATAGGACAAATCAACACTGTATTAGGAGTAGAAATTTTTACTAAAAGCTTATGGCCAAAGACTTACTGTTAACACAGTTTTGTTGACATACAGAATCGTTGTAAAATATGCATTTTCATATAAAAGAAAAATTGAATGCCTTTGGTAGGGTATGATGAAGAGCTTTTTCTCCTTGGAGTATGCATTTTGTTTTTGTTTCTTTTCAGTATACTCAAGGTCTAAATTGTAGCATTCCTTTATTTAGCAATGAAAGGTTTATATCCCAGTTTAGAAGTTTAAATACTTCTATCTTATGTTCTATATCTAGATTAATATGCTCTCCTTGGGAAAGTTGAATCCATCAAAATATTTGAATACTTTTATTCTTAGCATTAGTAGTTTTGGTTTTGTTTTTTTCCTCTCACATCCATGTACCTTTTGGGGCTTTAACCCTGTACTGGGGTTTTGTTTTTGTTTTTACCTGTGGAATATTCTATAATATTTTCCTCCAAAGATATGTTTTGTGTCTTCAGCTCAAATAAGGCAAATTATTTGTCCACAAATTAATTTAATTTGGTGGAAAAACTCCAAGGAAATATATGTGTTAAGATTTTTTTCAGCTTCTGTATCTTGGTTCACCAGATAGTCTCCTGCCTGAGAGGGGGGTGGAAAGGAACATTCATTGACAGGGGTCACCGGCTCTATTGTCTTACAGAAGATGGTGTCTGAGGGGTGAAGAAATGCCATCTTTTCAGACTCCTTTTTTTCAGAGAAAGAGTGTAGCCTCACATCCCTCTTGGCAAATAAAAGAACTTGACAAGTAGTGTGAAATGTCAACAAAATATTTAGCTAGAGCTGTTGTTAACTGCTGCAGAAAGAAAGCTGTCTTCTCCATCCACAAAGCTAGTAATTAGAGAATTTCTAGATTCGGTTTTGGGAATTTTCTTAGAATGTTGTTGGTAATTTTCTAGGATGACCCTAACTGCATATAATTTCATTCCTGTCTGTAAAATCAATTGATTATATAACTTACTGTTTACTATCTTCAAATTAAATATTTATAAAAGCTTATGGATTGGAGAAAAATTATTTGGTTTTGATCATCATGTGTCCTTGGTTTTAGTTTAAAAAATATGATTGCTATGTATGTATTTGCTACCAAAAAAACACAAAAGGAAGATCTTTCTTGGATGATTTGAGTTGACAGTGCTAGAAACTACAATTTTTAGAATCCTTGGAGTTAGGGAAGTCTTCCTGGCTTTTGGAGGTGGGAGTTATGATACATCGATGCAATTACTCAGTTGTTGATTAGAGTAATTTGATTTGTAGTAAATTGCATACTCAAAAGCATAAACCTAGGTGGAAATGAAGAGCCATGTGGAAAAGTAATGGAACGTTTAGAAAGAAAATTGATAGGAGAGTACCTGCAATGAATAACAAACATTGGACTTTGGGAATCAGAGACAATTTAGTAGCATTGTGACTTTCCTCACCTTGAAATTAAGCAGGTGAAAAACATGATTGTTTTTTCCTATCATATAGCTATACAACTAGTTTTATAAAATATTGCTGAGGGTTAACTATTTGCTATCATTTTGCTTAAGAGAGTAAGAACTTGAGTTGGAGATGAAATAACTCCTAATTCTCTAAATTATAGAATTATTAAATTATTTGTATTCTTTTAAGAATAAGTTAGGCTTAGGGGTACCTGGGTAGCTCAGTCATTTAAGCACCTGCCTGTTAATTTAGGCTCAGGTTATGATCTCAGGGTTGTGAGATCAAGACCCACTTCCAGCTCTGTCCTGGGCATGGAACCTGCTTAAAATTCTCTCTTTCCCTCACTCACCCCCACCACCAGCTGCATGAGCACATTTTTGCACATGCCATCTACCCCCCCCCCAAAAAAAACGAATAAATTAAGCTAAAATCATTATCCATCAGTAAGAATTTATTTTGATTCATCCATTATAATGTCATGTATTAATTATATGGCTGTTTGTGTTTTAAACAATGTTGTGATCTCAAAATGTAACGTACATAGAACTGTGTCTCAGTTACTAAGAAATATGTGTGTTACTACTATCCGATTAGTTTCGTGCAATGACAGCATGTTGTAATACTAAATGCCTTTGTAATGTTCCACTTCACTTCACTAGATAACTTTTCACCTTTAAAGTGATGTGGTAATTCCTGCTTGAAGTCATTGACCTAGGTAACTAGGTCACTAGGCCACGCTCCCAAATGCTTCCATGACTTTAAGGAAGAGTCCAACTTCTTCTACTCATCACTATTCTATTCTTGGGAAGCCTCAGAAGGAAGCATTTCCTCTGTAGGTAGACCCACATTTGTCTACCTTGTGTAACTGTTGCTTTTGTGGGAATGGTGCCAACAATCATCCCTGAGAAGTTCTGTTCTCAGTGTAAATTAAGACAATGAGGCCTGGTATTGTGAAGAGGCAGTTTCCTTGAGTGGTGGCTAGCACCATACTGCAGAGACGATGCATGGAAGCATGCATAAGTATGAGGGAAAGAAAAAGGAATGTTTTGCCTGAAGGCAAAGATTAATTAAGAAATACCACTAGCTTGTCACGCGTTAGGTAATAATCCCACAAAAGTTGAGTCTTCATTTAGGAAACAAATACTAACTAATGACATTAAAATGTATTTTACCTTTTGTTATGTTGTATTAACATTGTATAGGTAATCCGTAAGTATATTCTTAGAACAACAGAAAAACTAGAAACTACAGAAATTTACAGTCAACTGTGAAAGTCCCTTTTCATAATTCCATCACAAAACATATAATTTCCTTCTCCAGTGATCACCATTGTTACAAATTTAAATATTCTCCCACACTTTTTTCCATGAATTTACTTTTATGTGTATATCATCCATATTTACATCTACAAATATATTTTTTAACACAAATGTGACCATAGAATACATATTGTTCTAGAAGTTGCTTTCGTACTCTACTATAGACCAGTATTTTTCCGATTGACCAATGTTGCTTACAGTTTAGTGGGGCTTTTTTTTATCTCATCCAGCTTCAAATCCAGCATGAAGTTCTGAACACTGATATAAAATTTATTTAAATTAAAATTTTGGACAACAATTTCCATTCTATGAATAATGCTAAATTTTAGCCTTGTATTGGGAGTTGAATACTCTGATATGAAAAAATATTTCCCAAATCAACTAAAATAATCAAGGGATCATTTTCAGGAAGAATATATGTAGCAAATAGAGTTTGATTTCTGATATGGGAAAAAATCTGGATGTAAATGTGTATCTTTTAGAATACTCTGGTTCAACTGAAAATAGCATTTATTCTTCAAAAGTCAGGTCTAGTAAATTCCATGAAATAGATACTGTTACTTGACTTTACTGAGGATCATAGCAGGAATTTCAGTCAAGCACTAATACTGTAGGGAGTGTGACTCTTGAAGTTATTTACACAATGCTGACATATTATTTAAAGCTTCCTAATCTGGATGGGCACAGTGTGATCACAGTGTGATTACAATGTGGAAGCAGGTGGTAGTCTGTGTTAGAGCATTGAGATGTGGGAATAGATTGGCGGTGACCAGTTATGAAGACGGAAGGAGGGCACATGCTAAAGAACACAGGTAGCCTCTAGAAGCAAAAAAAATTCTCTTCTAGAGACTTAGGAAGGGGTGTAGCCTTGCTATCACCTTAGTTTCAGCCTAGTAAGACTTATGTAAAGCTTCTGACCTCCAGAACTACAAGATAATAAATTCGTGTTGTTTGAAGCAAAAAAAAAAAAAAAATAAAAGCTTTCTAATCTCTTGAAATATCACGAGATTTTTTTTTTTCCCCTCCTTGGTAACCACATTTACAGTAGTAACCATTATGTCAGTTGATTTTTGGTAATTTTTAAAATTTTTAACAACCTTGTAAGTGTTTTATGAACAGTATTTCAGGTGTTGTATATGTACATGTGTATGTGTGTAGTAATATTCTGTGTGATTAGATGGGATATATGCATAAAGTGCTTGTGTGACTGAATTCCAAGCTAAACTTAGCTGCCTTTTTTGTGGGACACCATTTTTACATAAAAGAATGACTAACAAACTATGCCATTCAGGCTTAAGTAATTTTGCAGACATTTTCGCAGAAATCAATGAATTGAACTTGTTACTCAAGGCAAATAACTGACAGTATTTGTTGCCAATGAAAAATTAAGAGTCCAAGTAAAAATTATAATTTTCTATAAAACCTGTAACTGCAATCATGGGATTGACATTGGTGAGGAAATTAGTGAATTTTATTTATATATGTGTGTGTGTGTGTGTGTGTGTGTGTGTGTACATATATATATGTATGTATATATGTATATATATGTATGTATGTATGTATATGTGTGTGTGTGTGTGTGTGTGTATTTAACCATAGAAAGTACCAATGTTTGGAATGTCTGCATAACCTAGTGAACCAATGATTGCCAAATGACTAATAATGTACACCGTTATAATGACACATGGGTAAAATATCCTTTCAAAGTATAAGATGAATGTATGGATTTTCATGTAAAAGAGTATGAAAAGTTCATTGGTATGTTTTCAGATAGCAACTAGCACTTAACCCTAAGAAACTTCCACTTGTTAAAGTTTTGGTATAGTAGCAAAGGAGAATTTTCTCAGTTGTCTGAAAGCAGTATTAAGTCTCTCTTCCTTTTCTAGCAATGTATCTCTGTGAGGCCATTTTTTCTTCATGTATTCCAACCAAACAACCTATTGCAACAGATTGAATGATGTAGCAGATATGAAAATCAAGCTTGCTTCTTTTGACTCAGATAATAAAACTGTTAAAAAAGACTGTTTAAAAAACTATCA